ATATGTGATATATGTCTTGAAAAGTAATCCTAACCAAAGATACTATGATACAAAGATATGCTATGATAGTTCACAGCATATCTACATCAATATAACTTAATTTACTAGAAGCAATAAAACTTTGTCATATATGGAAGAAAAATTAAATAAGATAGAGATAAAAATTTAGGCTTATTCATTAATCTTCTCAAAGTGTGAGCAAAATATTATATTCCTTTCAAAATATTAACTATAATTTGAATTTGTGCAAACATATATTATTTTCTTATTAGGATTCTCATTAAACAGAGTAATTATTTATTTTAATCTTTAATTTAGTGATAATTTATTAATTGTAATCAAATATAATAAAAAAAAATTGTAAAATCTATATGTCATCATTTTTAGATTAGATAACTTGAGAATTATAAAAAAAAAAAAAAAATGTGAACATAAATATATTGAATAAACTTCAACTTTCGTTTGATAAAACTCAAAATTCTGGCTTATTGGCGCACACAAGTTGCTACTGTTTCTCTAGCACTTTTGGACAATTAAATTTACCTTAAAGAGTGAAAACTGACAGAACTTTGCTATAAAATTATTTGAAAGTGTTTGTGGCATCAGCCAGTTTTTTTGTAGAGTTTTGATGTAATTCATCTGCATCAATAATGAAATGGTGTTGATGATTGATGACTTTTTAATCATTGAACTTTCTATATATGCTAAGAATTACTATTATAATAAAACACATTGATGTGAAATAAATACTCTATCAACTGGATAAATAGACAAAAAGAAAAACACACCTTTAAAAATCCAGTAAATAAATTTACTAATAAAAACGTTTTCGATCGGTTTAACCGATCCTCTTCAGTTATGATGAAATAGAATGTGAAAGTAGAATGTAAATTTTAAAATAAACGGTAAACCATAATTCCAAAATAAATACATAAATACATAATTGAAATCATAGGTGTGAATAATAAAGAAATAACTACAGAAATAAAATAAATAATTTAAAAAAAAAATGAAGAGTGGTTTTGAATTATTTCCCCTTTTTAAGAGGAATACATAGTAAAGTGGCCAGAGCTAATAATCTCCAGGTTGTAATTGATGCAACCCAATGATATTCAGAATTTTAAGGAATGATAAAAAACTGTATAACTATAATTTGGCCGCAGAGATTTACTCCATCCTGTTAATCGACCAACATTTCGAATCAAAACTGGTCTATGGTGGGTGCCACTATGCGCAACTTACAATGGCTTATAAGTATACAATTGATAAAAATCTCGATAGCACTGTGCTGACAGCTTATGCACAACATCAGGACATTCAGGTGCAATGGGAGCAGGCATCGATCATCAAACCAACATTGAATATAAATACTATGAGATATTTTGAAAGATTGGAGGTTTTTAAAGCACACAAAAAAACCGGTTGCATTAACCATAGAGACACTGACAACTTGGCTACTGCATGGCAGTCTTTTTATGAAAGTTAATTTTATTAAGGGACATTTATTTGTCTATTTTTACTTTTTATTATTTATTTTATTTCTGTAGTTATTTATTTATTATTCACAACTATGATTTCAATTATGTATTTATTTTGGAATTATAGTTTATCATTTATTTTTAAATTTACATTCTATTTTCACATTCTATTTCATCATAACTGAAGAGGATCGGTTAAATCTATCAAAAATGTTTTTATTAGTAAATTTATTTGCTGGATTTTTAAAGGTGTATTTTTCTTTTTGATGTGAAATAATTTATATATTTAAGTTAGAGAATCAGTTTACTACAAAGTTAGCTATAACAATTTATAAGAAGTCTGTAGATCTATCTGAAATAATAATAATAATAATATTAATTACAACTGAAAAACAAAGGTGTTATTCTCTAGCAAAATAAAATATAAAATCTGTTGACTTATTTCATAAACTTGGAATTATATGAATTTAATTACATAGTGTTATCCATAAGAATAAATCCATATGTTTACAATTTGCATATAAGTATATATTATATTCATTTATAAAATACTTACATTCATATAATTTTTGTTCTAATTACTTTCAAATGTTGCTTTCAAATTTATTTTATATATCTTAAGAAACAGAAGATTTTTAAAAATTTTTGTTCACAGTTTGCATTTAACATTGAGTTGTTTTTTAATATTTTAGAAAGAAATGTTGAATTTAAGTTTGCTAACAATGGTTTAGTATCAAAAAGTTAATTTGATATTGTAATTTTAGATTAATATGTTTTGTTTTTAGTCAAATCACATTGACCTCTCCATATATCAGGTTGTCATATCAGACACACCATGGAGAAAGTTGTATGGTGAATATTTAAAATTTTTCAAATTCATTATTCATAACATTTCAAATTATTTCACATTCTAGCTCAACCAAAAACTAAACCCTCAAAATCTCACAGTGACTCTACATCATCTAGTCAAGAACAAGCAGGTAGTATTAAAATTATGAAAAAGCATTTATCTCATTTAGTATTTATCTTACATTAAACTGTTGTGGCTAACAAATTAAATTTTCAGATATTTTAGACAATGTAGATGTTCCTTCACAAATAGNTTACCTTAGAAGTTCACCAACAAATAGATCTACTTATTAAACAAGCAACATCACATGAAAATCTATGTCAATGTTACATTGGATGGTAAGTCTTTTTTTTCCAAAAAAAAAAAGTCTACAAAGAATCCAAATTCAATTATTTCATCATTATTCTTTATCACTATTTTTTTCATCATATCATTAGGTAAATTCTCTTAATTTTTCATTAAAATTCTCTTATTGGATCATAATATTATTTGCTAACAATTATAATTATCATAATTTCATGTGGGTAAGCCCAAAATGCCTAAATCAGCAAATACTTACAGAAAATTTGTAGAATAGAAATAAAATCTGCATAACTTGTGCCACTGAATCCTATGGAGTGGTCATTCAAAGAATGACAATTACTGGTATGCAGATTAGAACATATCTCAAACATTAAAACATTGTTCTTTTCTGTTTTACTTTTATTAGTAATTCATTGTAGATATATGTAAACAACCAAGTTTGAATATTCTATAATAATCAATTCATTAAATGCCATGTTATTTGGGCTATATTTTAGCTATTAACAATTTATATAAAATAATTTATTCTAAAGGTAAGAGGTTAGACTGTTCTCTTATTTTACTAATAATTACAATTTTTAAATTTAATTTTATTCAAAAAGTAATGTAATTATTTATATTTTTACTTTCCTGGTTGTTATATATAACAGAGGAAAAGTATGGTGATCAGTCAAAAATGATCCCCCCAGATTTTTACATTTTTGGACTCGGGACCTTGAAACATCAAGAAATGCAAAAAAGATTGAGGTTTATTCTGTATGTATGGATATTAGTGTGTGGGTGGGTGAGCATGATTTTGTTTACTCTGTTTGAAGCTTAATAACTCCTGTGCTTTTTGTTGAAAATCTCTGAAATTTTGCAGGGAGGTTTGTTAATTAGGGGATTGATGCCGTTCAATTTTGGTGATTAATGGTTAAGGGGTGGAGAGATAATTGGAAATCGTGTGTATCTCCAGTAGGATTGGACTTGTTGATGATTTTACTCATTATTAGCATTTACAATTTTTTATAAAACCCATCCCTACCCTCAAAATTAAGATTTTTGCCATTTTATAATAATTAAAAATATAAGATTTTTTAAAATAAAATATCATAACAAATGCCATCACCAAATGTTGCTGGGAAAGTTAAGCAACGCATTGCTGGATTTTTTAGATTATAGTAGTAATAAAAAAAGCAATACATTAACGTATAAACTTAGAATTATTTTCTAAATAGTTCTCTGAATTGATGACATTATATATGGAGAAGGAATTAACCAGAAATTTATTAGTTTTCAAGATACAGGTTCAAGTAGAAATGTCTAACAATAATAACAAACAGAGCCATTGCCCATGTAAAAAGGAATAAGGACAAGCACTAAAATTGAAACCATATTAAAAGCTTGGTTATTTTAGCAAGAGTAGTGCTGGGTATATCTGTTAGTTATGTATAATATGTAATTAATGATGTAAAATAACTCTCAAAAACCTGTAGATATGTATCCTGTTCTTACAGTGTTATGCCTTTCTGTGCAGTTTCTTTTGCACTGTTGAAGCTCTATAATCACTTGAACAGTGTTGCATACAGATGCTCTCTCTCCATAAACTACAGATAATTTATGAGCACTAGCATTCTATTGTCAGATATTCAACATAATTTGCATCTATTGTTGTATATGGTTATTTCTGCTATTAATAAATACTTTGTATTTTGCAACTGTTGTTTATGCAGTCAAACCATTAGATTCAGTAAGGATGATCAAACTACAATGACCAAGGCCGTTTGGTGACAGAATGATATAATAAGATTAAATTGGATAATTATAGTATAATCTTATTATATCATTCTAATTTATGCAATCTTACACTTTGTTTGCTGAAATAGCAACTTCATCTAAATCATTTCAGAAAAATCTCTATACTAACTTAATGGGATTCCTGTCTAGAGCTTTAAAACATGGACAGTAATCACAATATGTTTTTTATACTATAAATTATTATCAGACAGATATTGTAAAGAAATTGCATTGATTATTCTATCAACACTTCTCGGTGTTTTTCATTGAAAATACTTTTTAGAATATTGTAGATTTTCACTTTTAATACAACCTAGTAGATAAATTTTGTTTGATTTAAAATCTTATTACAGCATTACAAATCCTTCTTAAACATATAAAAAACAGGAAAAAACTGTCTTTTGATGTTATTTTTAATAAGATTAAAAATTTAATCCTAGTTTTTTTCCTAGTTTTTGCTTGATGATAGTAAGTTTGTTTTACTGAAAGAGCTAAAAAAAAAACAAGTGTAAGTTTTAAGTTGTATTATGTTTTTAATCTATTAAAGACAACATCAAAAGACAGCTGTTCCTTGTTTTTATATGTTACAATTTGATGTTTTAAAGTTGAATCATCATAAACTTCAGAGATTACAGGTCAAAATATGAAAATAGTATGCAAAAGTACAGCTTTTAGATCTATTAATACTTTCAAAGTTTTAAATTTTTACATCTACTAGAACCAGACAAATAAACCTGGCAAAAATAGACATACTGTATATCTAATGATGACAAACTGCTAAAAAGATTTAAAGGATAAATAAATTATGTATGCACTTTAAAAATTATGCATATTCTTAATATCATTCACATAAAGTATAATATTTGAGATAAAGTAATTTTCTCCTGTAATTAATAAAGCCATTGCTGTATTATTTAATTTAAATGATTAGGTTTAAGATTGTACAGATTTTGTGTGCTATACTTTCTGTGGTATCTATGTACAGTGGAACCTCTATATNGGTTATGGAGTTGTCGTTTACAAGAATATTTTTTACTTTATTTATCTTTAAATAATTTCATAAACTTGAGTTAAATAGAATAAAGTTACAGTATTGTATTTTAATGATTTCATAGCATATTGCTAACATTTAATCACATCTATACAGTATATTCCTAAATGTATGTGTAAATTGACTACAAGTATAATTATTCTGTGTAGTAAGTATTATTTTCATAAAATGTGTGATTACTTTATTTGTGAAATATGCATTTTTTTAATTTCACAAATCCTCTATTTTTTTCATCAGCAAGTGTTTTTTATATAAAATAAGCTTAGTTTTTCAATGTTAAACTTTATCTTTGGTTATGTTGTATTAATTGACATTTACGTAAACATCGATACCATCAACGCACATTTAGCATTGTTTCTTTAACAATGACATGTAAAGACAAATACTATCGATATAAAAACAAAATATCAGTTACGATTTTATTATACAGTACAGTATTATACAGTATTTAATAAGCGATTTATTTTTACAATAAATCGCTTATTAAAAATTTGTGTAATATGTTTTTCAGTAAAAATTATAAATGCTGTAATTGTAAATTTTTAAAAATAAATATGGAATATATAATAGAACAAACAAAATTTATAAAATTACNGGGAAAGTTAAGCAACGCATTGCTGGATTTTTTAGATTATAGTAGTAATAAAAAAAGCAATACATTAACGTATAAACTTAGAATTATTTTCTAAATAGTTCTCTGAATTGATGACATTATATATGGAGAAGGAATTAACCAGAAATTTATTAGTTTTCAAGATACAGGTTCAAGTAGAAATGTCTAACAATAATAACAAACAGAGCCATTGCCCATGTAAAAAGGAATAAGGACAAGCACTAAAATTGAAACCATATTAAAAGCTTGGTTATTTTAGCAAGAGTAGTGCTGGGTATATCTGTTAGTTATGTATAATATGTAATTAATGATGTAAAATAACTCTCAAAAACCTGTAGATATGTATCCTGTTCTTACAGTGTTATGCCTTTCTGTGCAGTTTCTTTTGCACTGTTGAAGCTCTATAATCACTTGAACAGTGTTGCATACAGATGCTCTCTCTCCATAAACTACAGATAATTTATGAGCACTAGCATTCTATTGTCAGATATTCAACATAATTTGCATCTATTGTTGTATATGGTTATTTCTGCTATTAATAAATACTTTGTATTTTGCAACTGTTGTTTATGCAGTCAAACCATTAGATTCAGTAAGGATGATCAAACTACAATGACCAAGGCCGTTTGGTGACAGAATGATATAATAAGATTAAATTGGATAATTATAGTATAATCTTATTATATCATTCTAATTTATGCAATCTTACACTTTGTTTGCTGAAATAGCAACTTCATCTAAATCATTTCAGAAAAATCTCTATACTAACTTAATGGGATTCCTGTCTAGAGCTTTAAAACATGGACAGTAATCACAATATGTTTTTTATACTATAAATTATTATCAGACAGATATTGTAAAGAAATTGCATTGATTATTCTATCAACACTTCTCGGTGTTTTTCATTGAAAATACTTTTTAGAATATTGTAGATTTTCACTTTTAATACAACCTAGTAGATAAATTTTGTTTGATTTAAAATCTTATTACAGCATTACAAATCCTTCTTAAACATATAAAAAACAGGAAAAAACTGTCTTTTGATGTTATTTTTAATAAGATTAAAAATTTAATCCTAGTTTTTTTCCTAGTTTTTGCTTGATGATAGTAAGTTTGTTTTACTGAAAGAGCTAAAAAAAAAACAAGTGTAAGTTTTAAGTTGTATTATGTTTTTAATCTATTAAAGACAACATCAAAAGACAGCTGTTCCTTGTTTTTATATGTTACAATTTGATGTTTTAAAGTTGAATCATCATAAACTTCAGAGATTACAGGTCAAAATATGAAAATAGTATGCAAAAGTACAGCTTTTAGATCTATTAATACTTTCAAAGTTTTAAATTTTTACATCTACTAGAACCAGACAAATAAACCTGGCAAAAATAGACATACTGTATATCTAATGATGACAAACTGCTAAAAAGATTTAAAGGATAAATAAATTATGTATGCACTTTAAAAATTATGCATATTCTTAATATCATTCACATAAAGTATAATATTTGAGAT